TAATTAAAGAATTAAAAATTGAGATTGACACCGAGAAAGAAATTAAAAAACATTGTAATAAAGCATGATGGATGGTCATGGAATATTGCATCAATCACAACCAAACATACTCCGTAGAGCTACAAGAATCACAACCATCAAACATACTCCGTAGAGCTGCTAGAAGAAGGTTTATAGAATTAGTTAGTCTTATCTGATGAAGGAAAATAGAAGCTAGTTCTTATTAATACTTAATTAATTGCTTTTTATTTTTCTTTATTCTTTTTTTTGATATGAAGGTTGCACATCAGAGACACAACACAAAACATTAAAATGAGTCAAATCATTGCATCACCAGTTATACTCTAATCATGATATTACTGTTTGATAGAAAATATCATATTTAATATTTCAATGATGGTTGTAATTATTCTGACTATGGGATATCATTTATTATAATAGAAGAATGTGTATTTGTAAAGATGGTAGTATTATGTACTTGTTAGGACGCAAGTATATTTGATAATGTGGGTATTATCAAAGAAAAATGTATGATATAATTAATGATAAACGAAATTATGGATAAGTAACAAAGTAATGAGAATATATTCTTTAATTATAAACTAAAAGAATAAAAGATGCGGATTTTTTAATACATACTAAACTTGAAATTAAGATGAAATAGGTACTTAAATGAAGAATATTTAAATTGATAATGTTTTCAAAACTGTTGATTCATTAGAAATAAAAGAATGAAGAATATAAATTCACACTCCTCAACAATAAAAAGCTAAAGAATAAGTAAACTGTAGATGAGTAAATACTCTTATGCTTAGGGATGTTTATAGTCTTTCTTGAGTAAAAGAAAATAGAAAATAAAAGTAATATCATTTAATAAGCTATTTCTTGAATATAATTTTCAAGTAGATTCTTTAATTTAGATTATGAAATGAGTTAGTATCATTTAAGTCTACTAGCTTTATTGATAAACGTTTCATGACTATTTAAAACTACTATGATAATCTATTTTACTTGATATTTTAAAGAATAAACTAAAAAAATTCTCCTAAAGATCAATTTGTAATGAAAACCCTTTATGATGTCCTTCTTCATTTATCCTTTTTAAGATTTCTGTGATAATTTCTTTACAATCTTCATTCTCAACTATTAAATTATTAAGTAATGTTTTAGTGTTTGGAGTATTAAGTAATGTTCTAACACTTGGTGTGATAGCTAAATTAAACAAAGCACATACTCCTACACAGACATAATCAGCTGGGCAATGAGGCTCACTTAATACATTAATAATTGAGGTTAATGATTTCTTAACTAAACTTTCCTCTCTTTTAATTGAGTCATTGTTGAGTAGTGCAAACAATAATATTGCATTTCTTCTTTCACTAATTGATGTTGATGGTGTTGACAAGAGTTTAATTGCATATTGAATCATTAGTTGATGATCTTGACTTGGCAGTGTGGCAACATTCATTATTGCATAAAACCCAATGCAATTATTTTGTGAAGTAGGTAATTTTTTAATTAAACTACAGAACGAATTTATTGAAGTTGTTGTATTTAATAATTGAGATATGTCTTGGTCATTAGATAAAGAAGAAACGATTTCCCATACATTTAAAGAAATAAATGAATAAATAGAATATGATTTAGAAAGAATTAAAGACGTCATTAATACCTGTAAAACAGATATATTTAATTGATTTGCTATAGAAGGTATTTGTTGAATAATTCTTTTATATAATATACTTTTTTTCAATAATTGTGAAATTTGAATAACATTTTGATTAAAAGGACATAAAAATAAAATACAAATTTGAAGAACAAGTTGATCAAATTCTTTATTATTTGTTTTTTGAATAATTGTTTCAAGTATTTGAATAATTTGAATTACTTCATTATATGCGAAGAATGGTTGTATTTGATTTGCAACAACTCTTAATGTTAATGCATCTTTAATAGTTTCAATATTTTCTTGATTTTGAGAGATAGTATTAAAAATAATATCTCTCCATTCTTGATCTTCTAATTTATCAATAGAACGAAAAACTTCAATATATTTCTTAATAAGGATTAAGCATCTTTTATTTGTTTTGGATGTATTAAAAGTATGACATTTACTAACACAAATATTAACCCAATTTTCATATTTTTTCATTTGACTTTCATTCATACTAAGACTTTCATTTAAACTATCTTCTAAGCATTGAATAGTATATACTATAAATTCTTCATTGTCATTTGTTTTCATCTTTTCTGTAATGACATTAAAAATGTCTTGACCAAGAAGTTCATTTGAAACTCCATTAGAAAGAAAGTAATGAATAATTTTCATAATTTTAATACTTTGGTCTATTGTAGTTGATTGAAGAACAAGAAAAGACACAATAATGATACAATTATTTAGTTTACAAATATTAATTTGTTTATCATTAATTAAACTAAAAACTATTTGAATTACTGCATTTTGAATATCTTCTAATTCTGTAAATTTCATAGCTAATTCAAAAATCCATTTAATATTATCATCTGTTTTATAATTTATTGTATTGGATAAACTAAAGACATAGCTAAATATAAACATACATCCACTAATAATTGATGCATCATTCTCAAAAGAATGACTTATTTGAATAATTAATGTAAATATATTTAATATCTTTGTGTCTTTACTATTCTTAACTATTTCTTTATAAACTTGAAAACATAATAAAAGAATTCCTGGATTATCTTTATAAATTTGGAATATTTGAATTAGATTGTCTATAACTCCAATTTCTATAAATTTTGAAATACATCTTTTTGTTGATAATAGTTTAATAAAAATATTTAATCCAATGCTTTGAATTCCTTCGTCAGATAAATATAATTCCATAATATTTTTAATAACTTCAACCCATTGATTATCTATCATTTTATTATTACTTTCTTCAAACCCACAATATAATGATAACGCCCTTAATCCACTCATTTCCATTAATTTAAGTGAAACATTCTTTTTAATAATATCAATTAGAATTTCAATAACTTCAAATTTTTCAAGTGATTTAAAGTTACTTTCATTTTGCATTAATAATATCGTTATTTCAATAAAAATTAATATAATATCTTCTTTTGTATTACTTTTTATTATTTTAATTATTTCTTTCAAACATCCACTTTCAATAAATTCTTTTTGACATTTATCTTCATTGCATAACCTCCAACATCCAATGATTAATGGTTGAATATATTCTTTACTTGTTATTGTTTTATTTAGTAGTTTTTGTAATTCATTATACCATCCCCCTCCTTCTCTTATTATATTTTCAATGACAAATCCTACAATAACTCCCATATTTTCCTGTGAACATGAAATATCACTTATTCCATCTTCTAATACCATTGATGAAAATACTTTTTGTGTATTTTCTGCCAATCCTAATTGATCTCTCAGTTGATATGCAATTTCTTTATTATGTGAAAGTAATGAATTGATTAGATAACTTTCTGCAATATCATCTAATCTCTCTGACTTGTGGTCAATTAACCATTTTCCAATTTCATTAATAAAATCGTTATTATTAATTTCCATTGCCATTATTCCATAAATCATTTCATTGATATCATAAACACTAAATTCATTTAGTATGATGGGTTTGTTCAATATAATTGTATTCATTATAGTTGTTAGTGTTTTAATTGTTCCACAAATATAAATATTATCATTTGGTTGAGCTTCTGAAATAATTCCTGATGTAATAACTCCATATGGAATATGGAGAATTCCATCAATACATACTAAATTTACTATTTTCTCAAATTCTATTTTCTGGTCTTGTTGTACTGATGGAATAGTTATGGTATTATTGTATATATTATTAAGTTTTGTTGTCCATTCAGTTAAATCAAGTAAATCTAATGTGTGACTTGATTCGTCTCTACAACAAGTTTGTTGCATTTTACTTTTTGAGTTCTTTTTTACTAAAAACAAATTTGATTTGTTCAATCTTTTTCTCATTTTCCTTTCATTATTTTCTTTTCAAAAACTAAATAATGAACCTTCCTTCACACTCAATAGCTATCATTTTATTACTCTTATTGTTTCTTTTATGTCACAAAATTAACAGAAAATAACTTGATAATTTTTGTTTGAAAATGATGGCAAACTTGTGTACCAAAGAATTAAATTTAATCAAGATTTGTTTGACAAGTAATTAAGTAATTGGTTTGGCTTAATTTAAAAAAAATTGTCATAAGTCATGCTGTTGTAAAAAAGACTATAAGCTATAAACATGCTTATAATCAAGAATTGTTTAAAATAAAAAGACTATCAAATAAATTTGATAGAATAAACTATTTAAGATAACACCTCTCAACAAAACAAATTACTGTGAATAAGTATTGTTATTTATATCTGTTAAAAAAACTAAAGAGTATTTACAATTTTGTTGAATAAAAAAGCTTATTGGTTGTGATGACATTAATTTTTCATTGATTCCTTTGTTCAACTATAAGACTGAAAATTCCCTTGTTTATTGTGTATTTGGATGATAAAAACGTTCATAGTATTTAGTGTTTTTCTATCACACAACAGGGTTTTCAATATTGAAGAATATGGAAATAAAACGTTGGGATAGAAACAGGAACAAACATATAGAAAAATGTTTTTCTTCTGCTCTGTAAAATGAAAAGAGAAACCGACAATTTTAAGAAAAAAATCTGAAAAACAAGATAAATGACAAGTGAAATTGTGGAAGAACCAATTGAGTTGAAAGACAAGTTGGTAGACAAACGATGGAAGATCAGAGTAAAAGGGTATAAAGAATTAGATCAATTAATTCAAACAAAAGATACGAAATACGTAGAATATATTAGTTACTTTGAAGGAATGGCAAATGACAATAATGCAATTGCTTTTGAGAGTGCACTTGAAACAATGATTAGTTATTTTAGTATTAATGATAATTCTAATCCTTTGTCAATTGAAATTGGAAACAAAGTGTGTTTAGTCATTGGAGAAAAAGGACTTTTAGGAAGGTCTAAAACAAAAGAACGGACATTGGAACTCTTTTGCTTGTTTGTTGAAATTGGATTAACAGAAGAAGTACTCAACACGTTGGTTGATCTTACCAAACATAAGAATTTTAAACTAGGTGTAGAAGCAATTAAAGAAATAGAACAGCTTCTTATTTTATTTAGTCCTCAAGTATTTTCCTTAAAAACTATTCTTGAAGGACTTAAGGAATGGATAGTTCATAAAGACAAAGATGCACGTCAAAGTTCATTGAGGATATTGCATTGTCTAAAATCTAATTTCAATGAGAATTTGTTACAAGAATTTATTAATACCATTCCACCAGCACAAAAGAAGGACTATGAAAGTTATCTTCAAAACAATCCATTACACAAAATTGAACCAGTAAGAAATATGAGATGTAGGAAAGAACAAAAAGTTATTAGTCCAGTTAAAAAAGTTGTTGAAGAAGTTGCTGAAAAAAATGTTCTTGAAAAAAATAACGTTGAAAAAACTATTCTTGAAAAAAAAATCCCAAAAGAATTTGCTAGTATAATTGATAATGGAAAATGGAAAGAAAAAAAAGAAGTTATTGAAAAAATTACTGAGGAGCTTGAGGCACAAAAAGTTATATTTCCAACTTCAGTAATGTTTTGGGAAACATTAAAGAAAGCTTTGGATGATAATAATATCAATGTCGTATCTGCAACAATGAGATGTATTATTTCTATTGATAAAAAAGGTGGAAATGTTACTCAGTATTTATCACAAATTGTCAAAAAATTAAAAGAAAGTAATAAAACAGTAGTGAATTGTGCTATAGAAACTCTACTTTCAATTATTAAGAATAACGATGATTTGATTTCATTATTGATTGAAGTTGAAGGTAATTCTATTAGTAACTTAAATGTTATGAACTTTACAAGAAGAGCCATCGAAAAGTATAATAAACCAACACAACAAATTAAGTTGTGGGCAAAATTATTTTGTTCACCACTAGAAGATCAAAAAAAAGAAATTAGAGATGCTGCAACAGAAGCAATTGTTTCATTTATTAAAGTTAATGGTGATGAAATTTTAAAATACCTTGAAGGTATTTCTAAAGACAGACTAAAAATAGTTCAATTTAAAGTAAATGGGGAGTCATACATGTCAGTTGCTCCAAGTGCTGTAAATACAAATTCAGTTGCACATTCTTCAATATCACAAATCAGTGAAATACCACCAAAAATACTTTCACCTATTCCAATGAAAGAAGTTATTAATAATGATAATAGTTCAACTAAGCAACCTACAGGTTGGTCAAGAAAAATGAGTCTAGAAAGGTCACCAAAGAAAGGAGTCAAAAGTTATAGTACAACAAAACTCCCAGTGTTAAAAGTTAATACAAAACCAGTATTAAGAAGTGTTAAAACACAACCAAAAAAAGAAGTAAGGAAAACTCTAAAAAAAAGTTATTTTGATTTATTCAAAGCATTAAAAAATGGAGATTGGAAGGTACAAACACAAAGTTTGATTGAAATAACAAAATATTTAGAAAATAATACAATAAATCAGATGGAATGCGATCATTTAATTAATGAATTAAAAAATAAAATTGGAGACCCAAAAAGGGGATTAGCATCAGTTGCATTAAAAACTTTGATACAAACGATTAAGAATGTTAAAAGTGGATTTGAAAGATATATCCCTAGTATTATGTCTAATGTCATACAACAAATGGGAGATAATAATAAGAGTGTGCGAGAGTGTTCTATGGAAGTAATGCAAGTCTTAGGAAAAGAAGTTGGGATGAATGTGCTAATAAATCAATTAAATTATGCAATGCAACCAAATAATAATCCTATTATTCGAAAAAGTGCAATAGAAGTTATACTAAAAATAATTGAGCCTATGAATGTAAAAGATATTGGAATAATGAAACCATTAGTACCAACATTATTAAAACAAATTTGTGATAAAAATATTGAGTTAAGAAAAGATGTTGAGTATGTTGTTGAAAAATGTGTTGAAAGTATGGGAGTGGATATTATTAAAAGTAGAATGAATAAACTAATGATTAACGAACAACAAGCATGCAGAGAAATTATTAGAAGGTATAATGTGAGTCAACATCCAACAATAATAGAACCTAACATTACTGAACCTAAACCTGTTGTTAAGAAACTAACTCATTTAATTACAGTCTCAAGAGACTCTGAAGTTATTCCAAATGAAACAAAAATGGAAGAAGAACATATTAAAGATGTTAATGACCAACACCAATCTACAAAAATGGAAGAAGTTCCTATATTACCGATAAGAAAGTCATTAAGCTTGGCTCAAGAAAACCCTGAAAATACTAAAATGGAAGAACATCCAAATATTGATTTAGGAAAACAAAATCTTCCAAGAACTGGTTCTGCAGTAGTAACAGTATTAAATAGATGTGCTACAATTAGTATGGTTGTTGAAGACACTCAAAAACAACCAATGATCATTCGATCACAAACAATGATTCCACCAGAATTAACACTGTTATATAAAATACCAGAAACTTATATTAAGGATTTATTACGACTTGGAGCAGAAATGCTACCACAAGATTATCTACAAAGACTAGTATCTCTATCACCAAGAGATGTTGATTTATGCTTAAAGGCAGTTGAAGTTTTAGATTTTGAAAAACCAATATTTGAAGAATTTCTAATGACGTGGGGAGTAGTTTTAATAATGAAAGGAGATTATACCTTAATTCCAGAATTAACTAAAATTGTACAAGACTGGATTAGAAAATTATTAAAAAGTAAAAAAACTCTTGAAGGTGTACGTACTCATACCTTCATAGAATGTATATTAAAGTCTGCACAATATATTTCTACTGAAGTTTCATTATTAATGAAATATTTTGTTCGAGTATATGATAATAAAAGAATTATTGAAATGTTATGGCAAGCTATTGTAACATCTCCATTAGCAACAAAAATTGTTTGTCTTAGAATTTTTAATGATCTATTTGAAACATTTATTGAAAAAGGGGATTTAAATGAAAATATGATGAAAACTATGTTTTGTGTCATATATAGAGAAGCCAATACAAAAAATTTCGAGGATATAGCTGGTTTTTTACTTGCTAAAATTTATAACTATATTGGGGAAGATGTTTTTAGAATTATTGAAAATAATGATGAAATGTTTAATCAATACATTCGATTTAATGGAAAATATATTAAAGAAAAAGAGCAAATGACAATTGGAAGTGGAAAAAGAAAAGTAAGAGATGAACGAATTACTATTGTTGGACATGACCAACCAATTAGTATTGCTGAAAATAATGAAGATATTATTTTACATATTAGTGGAATTGATAAAGATCAACGATTAGACTCAAGCAAAACCTTAGACGAAATAAAACCAGGAGGTATTGACTTAGAAATTTCAGAGTCAAATGCTCAAAATAAAGAGAGACCAAGAAAATTTAGTTTAACACTTCAAAGAGGAAAAGGTCCTATCCAATTAAATGACCAAAATATAAATATGTCAATTAGTGTAGAAAATAAACCATTAGAAAAAATTACCCCACCTAAACGTATGTCAGAAGAAAGTAATGGACTTAAATTGATTGATTTGGAGGAAGAAACAAGTCAAGTTGATAAAACAACTCAAAACTTGGAAGTAAATCTTGGACAAAATACCTCAGATATATCGTCATTAGTTTCTCCTCTCAGTACTAAAGAAATTCAAAAATTATCAAGGCAATTATCTCCTAAACTATCTCCAGTTCAATCCCCAAATCACCTTAAAACACCAACACTATCTCCAAATTCTCTTTTGAAGTCAAGAGGAATGAAGGTTATACATAAACCAGTCATGGTTCCAAAAGTATCTCCTACAGTTGGTTATAAACCTATAATGGAAAAAAGTCCTGTTTCTTCTGCTGTAAGAGTAAAACAATTAACAATGGAAGAACAACAATCCAACCAAAATAAAACAACTACAAAGAGACATAACCTTAATCTTATTCGTAGCCAACATGCAATGAATAAAATAGAAGCTGTATCACCAATGGTTAAACCAATAATTAAATTAAATGTAATAGAACCACAAGATATCCCATTATCAATAGAAGTACCAAATAGAGAAGTTAGTACAGAAAGTAACAGCTCATTCTATCCAATTAATAATACTACACCACTTGGATTTTTAGATAAAATATTGAAAACAAAAAAAGAAACACCACCACCAATACAAGTTAATACTGACTTTAAATTTAGTATTGCTGAACAAAATAAAGACCACAACCAACAAACTATAAATACAATTACAGGTTCAAAACCAGTAATACAATCTCCAATTGATCAATTTATTTCACAAACAACTCAACCTCCATTAATTAATCCACAGTTATTAGCATTACAAACAAGTATTAATTCAATAAAAAGAGTTTCACCAATTAGAAATCCAATAAATCAGGTTACCCCTGATGTTGTACCAAATGCACTTAATTGGAAAGATTTATGCAAATAAAGTATTATAATTATTTAATTTAAAATTAATGAATTTATGGTTTAAAGTACATTTAACTGTCATTATTCTCTTCTTCTGAAACATCTACTGCACCAAGAGGGACTTGTGCAACACGACAAACGCTTAATGGAATATATGATGGACGATACTTTCTTTCTAACTCAGAACGTTTTTCTTCCTCCAATCTTACTAACTCTTCTACATCACCTCCTAAAACTTGAAGATTTGAGTTATTCAAATATAATACACCCCTTCTTACTTTTACTTGTCTCAAAGCCACCTTAAACCCAGGTTTCATTCCCATACAAATACCATCAATATGATTTGATTCAAAGCCATAAATTGTTGTAGTGCCATCTGTTAAAGACAATTTCATTACTCTATTTTTTGTTTCATTTAATTGGTCATCTATAGTGTTACCAATATCACTATATTCATCACACTGTAAAATGGCATGTTCCAAAATATCTTCTTTTGTATCAAATGAATAAGAACGTAAAACAGGATTAGAAGTTAAGCGAATGTCATTATATAAAAATATATTATATATATATTCTGTTATAGAATTAATATCTGCAAGTAATTCAGAATGGTTTTGTTGAATTTCTTGAAGACAGTCTGAAATAAAAGAATCTTTAAGAGCAAGTAAATTTAATTTTTGTTGAATTTGAGGAATAAAAGACATGAAATTAAAAAATAAGAGATTTTTTCTTTTAATAAAAAAAAGAATAATAAATTAATAATTTTATAATAATAGTTTAATTTAAACCATCAATATTAGTTATATTACTTGTATCATTTCCACATGACCGATCAAGTGATGACATTAAAGCCTGAAATGCTTCTTTACCATATTGTTCTTCTATTTTTTTACTTGCATTCATTTCATACTCTTTTTGTTTTCTTATTTTTTCTTCTTGAGACATTTCAGGTTCTTGAGGTTTTTTACTAACCTCTTTTAATTGAGAGTCTACAAGCTCTCTTAATTCATTATTATAATCACCAAGTCCAAGATCAGAAAGAGCAGTTAGTACATGGTCTGTACTTAATGTTTTTCTATTTGTATTAGCTGCTACATCTTTTGCTTGAGCAGCAATGATATGAATAAATTCAACACCACAATCAGCAACAACATCTCTAAAATCAGCTGAGACACGAATAGAATTAGATAAATTTTCCTTAATAAGCTTATTTATAGATGTTTTAGGAAGGCAATTTTCTTCAGACATTAATTCGTAGGGTTCTTATTTCTTGACTTTCTGGTTCAGTTTTATTTTATAAGTTCCCTTTCCATTATTTCCAGTTTCTAATTTAATTTTAATAGTAAGTTTTATTAAAATGATTATTTAATTTATTATTTCTAATCTTTTCCATTTTTATTATTTTAAAAATACTTGAAAGAATAAACATTTTAAGTAAAGTATAGTTTCTGTTTCATTTCAAATCCAGTTAAAATGGTCAAATATTTAATTACTTTAAGGATCATTACAATAAGAGTATTTAAAGTATTTAATATATAAAAATGAGAGTTAAAAGAAAAAGAGATGATAAGACAAAATAAATTTATACAAAACTTGATAAAAAGAGATCATTCTTTTTCACAGTGATCCTACTAGAAACAAACAACTCACAGAGGTACTGATTAATAAGTTTTCCTTTTTTTATAATATCATCCTTATTAAAAAGGAGTTTATCATTTAGGAATATTTTATCAATCAAATCACATTTTAAAGTTCCTTTTTTTCCTTTTGTATTTCTTCTCTCAAGAACATAACCAAATTCTGCTATGACATCTGAAAGAAAATGAAGTGATTCAGTTAGTTTATTTGTTTCAAACCGCCGTTGGCAAGTTTTTTTTGATACTCCATGAGTTAAATCAAAATTATATCTTTCAGAACATCTCTTGTCTATAAAACAAACAACATCAACATAATCTTCTTCTCTTGATATTGAATCAATAACTAATATTTGTTCAAATACTTTTGCTTGTTTTATTGGTAGTCTTAGAGTTATATCAAAATATTGATTCAATAATGCTAAGAATATTGATTGTTCATAAACTTTATAATTTCTTACATCTTTGAAATAAGCAGGTTTGTTTTCATTACCTTTTGTTGATTTTGATGGCTTCATTTTGAAGAGTTTTATCATTTCTTAGTTTTACTGAAAGTTGGGGGTTGGCAGTAGTACAAAAGATTATTCTAATTTAATCCTTGTTGAAATTCATACTATTTCTAAATCCATTATTATGTAACTTTCCTATTGGATTAATTCTTATTCCTTTTTTTTAAAAAAAATAAATGACAGTTAAAGTTAATTGTTAATTTCGCTGTTTTATATTTGGGTATATGAAATTTATATTCTTTAATATAGTTGTTTTTTTTTATTCTTTAAATTGTTTTATTACTTCTTGTTACGTTTTAATCAATAAATTAAATTAGAAACGAGTAACGTCTACAAAAATATAACTTGCGAAAAAATTACTTGATTATTTTTTTTTTAATTTTAGAGCCAAGAAACTAAAAATAGTATTTTTTCTTTTAAAATCAAAAAAACGTGGGGACAGAAATACATTATTTGTCTATGACGTGTCATTCAATTAAAAAAATAAATGATACATTATTTGTTAGTTGGTTTGAAGCCAATAAGACAAATTTTGTTTAAAACAAGTTAAAAACAAGTACTAAATAATTTTAACATCTACTTTTTACATAAAAAGTAATCAGAAATCATATAGAAACCCATTCTTCATTGATATTCAGAGTGAGCTGAGTACTATTTCATCATTTCTATTTTAATAAGAGAATTTATAATAAATAAAGAATTATTTAATTAAAATAAAAAAATTATGGTTGATAAAAAAAGGGTTAATAAAAAAGAAAACCAAAGAATTATCCAAAAAAGAAAGTACTTTAAAAAATTTTTAAATTTTAAATTTTTAATCCAAAAGGCGTTGTGAACTAAAAAAAATATTTTTAGTTATGTCAGAAAAAGAAATAAAAGTGTTTGACGAAGAATTAATTAAACACCGTATTAAGCCAATGATTCATGAAGGAGATTATGTTCATGGAGTAGAGTGTTTGTATAATGAGATAACAAAACAAGTAGATCATCCAATGAAACAACAAATAGATGGAATTTATATGACATATGAAAATATATTTCCAAAACAACCAAAACATTTAAGCAACGAACAAATCAAAAATACTATTACAGAAGTAGCTACATTAGCATCAGCAGAAATATTATTTGCTTTATGTAAATATTATAAGGAATTAAAAAAATGTCAAAGTGAATTATTCCAACCATTATCACAAATTGTTGTTAAAAAAATATTTCCTGTTTCTTTTGAATTTGTTTGTAGAACAACTAAAGATAATGATTTTAGATTTGAGTTACAAATGAAAAAATATATTAGAAGTGATTTGAGAGAAGTATTAAAAATTAATCCTAAAATTTATCCTACTTCATATCCTAGTGACCCTACCGTGTTTGGAAGAACTATCAACGTTTTAAATAAATTAGAAAATTCACCTACAATTGATGATATGAGAACTGAATTAGTTAATTCACAAACTGCTATTATTGATGATGTAAAAGATATGCATGATAATGTTTTACCAAAAGACTTTGATAGTGATGATTTATTGTCTTTATTAACATTTTCTTTATTACATTCTACATTGAAACATCCATTTGCTATCTCTATATTGTTAGAATGTTTCTTAACTGATGAAGATTTCTTAACTCAAGTTGGATATTCACTAACTACATTCACTGTAGCAATTCAATCAGTAATTAAAATGACTGAAAATGAATGTATACAAAATAAAGAATTATTACAATTAAATCCTGTAGATGCTCTTACTAGAAGAAATACAGTTCAAAGAAAACCTACTATCATGTGTACTCAACCTGTATTTAGACCAACTATTAATTCTTCTTCTCATGAAAATATAATTATGGTAAAGAAACCTACAACTAAAAGAGAGGAAAAGTTTATTATTGGAACACGCTCTACGTTAGCAAAAAAGAAAGACACACAAGTTGTTGGAAGTGTTGGAACTCTTGATTCTCCATTACATAAGAAAAATTTTCCTACTTCATATGATGATAATTCTTATTATGAACCTTTTGGCACTCATCATATTGATAATCTTAAATCAACTGTTACTCCAGTTATACTAACAAGTTCTACCGTTTCTACTACTCCAAACAAAAATCATAGTGACCTTTCTTCTGAAGATATCATTTTTAGTTTATCACCAAATACTGTTCCTGAAAGTCCTATAATACCTTCACCAAAACATGAACAACAAGATGAACTAACTAAAAGTAATCCTATACACACAGATATTTGTTATAGCCAATTAAATGTAAATGAACTCAGTAAAGAAAAAGAATTAAATAATAATCCTGAAATGGATTTTACATCAAAAATAGCTTCTCAAAATGATATTCAGGTTGAAGCCATTGATAAGTCAGACATTCAAAAAGAAAAAATACAAGAAAACAACCATTTCATTAATCAAATTACTACTGAAAGTATAATAGAAAATAATAGTCAAATAAAAAGTGAATATCAAAATGGAATAAATAAAGACTTTCAAATAAAAAATAATAGTGACAAACAAGACTTATCATTAAACCAAGAAATAATCAATGAAAAAATTATTCAAAAAGAACAAACAAGTGATAGCTTAAGTGAAAAAGAAGAAAAACAAGGACAACATTCAAAAAAGGTTGATCAGTTAAATGACCAACACATAAAACAATCAAAAGAAATAAACGAACAAGACAAATTAATTCAAAACACTGAAATACAAGATGATTCTGAACGTTTATCTGTTTCTAAAGCTAAAATAAAATTTGAGGTTGCGGCTCAAGGTGAATTAAAAGAAAAACATCACAAATCAATATCTACACCACCCAATTCAGTTTTAAGTGTTAAAGAACGAATGAAATTATTTGAATCAAAATTTATAGAAGAGGCTGAACCACAATACATTAAAAGAACAAAAGAGGCTAATCCATCTCATAATCCTTTAACATCACAGAATAATGTAATTCAAAATTAGTCAACCTGTTTATATCATTACAGCCTAATAACTAATCAAAAAAAAAAAAACTATTAAGAAATGATTTGAAAAACTAAAGAAATTACTACTTTTATTTGAGTTCTTCACACCACAAATTCTCTTTTCTAATTTGTTCTTCTTCTTCAGGAGTGAAATCATTAACAATACCAAATGTCTTTCTAATCTCTTCTGGGGTTTTTCCTCGAATCATATTAGCAACAGTTTTGCATGTAACATCAAGTAACCCTTTTACATCCATGAAATTAGCAGCTTGGAGTAATTCAAATAATGTTGCTTGATCTACATTACAAAAATTTTTGTCCCAAGGCTCAATAGCAGTTGAGTCTTTTTCTTTATCATCACCAAGTAAAAATGAATGGTTGTGATGATAAGTCATAAATTCAATGACTTTTTCAAGAATTTTTCCACGAACATTCATGAATGGAACTGTTGGATTATCTTCACTAAAATCTTCAAGAAGATTTTTAACAACTCCAGAATTTTTAGCAATTTCTCTATCAACTACAAATTGCATAAGATCACTACTTTGAAGAGTAACTGTTCTTCCACTTGTTGCCATTCTTTATGTTTTTTCATTTTAGTTCATTTTTTTTAATTCTTTTTGATAATTTTCATTTTTTTTTTAAATAAAAAAAGAGAATAACAAAATTTTTACATAACAATATAAAACAGAAAATGTAAAAAAGAAAGAAGTTTAAAAAAAAAGAAAAATAACAAATGAACTGAAAAACAAAAGACTGTTTGTTGGAATGAATTATTCATTTATAAACGAAGGACATTCTAAACTTACTCCACTATGTCTTCCTGGACCTGCACATCCAACAAATGTTCATGCATGTGATTGGGATTATGGATTAATTGCAATTGCATTTAATAGTATTATTTATATTATTAATCCACTTAGTTGTAATATGTGTTACGCGTATAATGGACATGCAAGTCCAGTTACTTCTGTTTGTTTTAAAACAAATGACTTTCTTTCTACATTAAGTTCTCCTAATAAACCTGACATTACTATTGCCTCAGGTGATGTTAGTGGTAAAATTCATGTTTGGGGAATATGGTCTACTTCAAAACCAATAGAATTTGAATCTTTGGACCATTCTCCAGTTGTTGGATTACAATGGGACAATTGTAATTCTTCAGCACTAATAGTATTATATCGAAGTGGAACATTGATATGTTACGACATTTTGTCTGAAGAAAAACATAAACCTAAATGGGTTGTCAAAGACATATTTAAAGACCCTATTGGATTTAGTAATTCTATATACGCAAGAGGTTCATTTGGTATTTATGGTGGACAAAGTATGTGTTTTTGTAATTTAGCTAGTTCAATATTTAAAGGATACGAATTAGATACTTCAACACCAAATCTTTTAAGAGTTGAAGAAGGTGTTTTACGACTTAAATATTCAAGTATTCGTCGTCAAGTTACTTATATTTTATTAACAAAACATTTCTTAATTTTTGATACAGCTCTTCGGTCGACTTTAGCAACAATTGATTTACCAGAAGAACCAGCTGATTTTACTCTTTTATACAATGAAAAATATTTTGCTTTATTAACTCATAATGGAAATATTTTTGTTTATGAGATTATCAATCTTGTACAAATCCGTTCATATGGAAGAATGGAAATATCTTCAGTGCTTGCAAAAGGCAATAGATTACATAAATATACTACGGTCTCTATTGTTCCTGATGCTATGGATAACTCTAATCTTATTGTACGTATTCAAGAAGGTCCATTAATATTATTAAAATTAACTACAAATCCATACTCAATGGTAATCAAAGGTATTGTACAAACATTTCCTTCTACTATTCGTTGGTTTATATCTAAACAAATATATTCTGTAGGTGTTACTGAAGATGGAATGATGTATGTATTAAAAGGAGGAGAGATATACCGAATGTTTGAGATATCAAAATTAAATCCAAAAGGATTGTTTTGGTTAAATGATATAGTTGGAGTTTATGGAATTAAAATGAAAGAACATTCAAAAGAAAGTAAAAATTATATTATTTTTATTGATCCATTAAATGGAGAAATCAAAAAAACACTAAAATTAAGAAATTGTTATGGAGAAATAAAAAAAGTATGTTGTAAAGGAGATAATAAAAGTATTGTAGTTTGTTATGCAAATTCTCTGGAAGAAATTGAAATTGATGGATATCGAATAATACAATTTATAGAAAAATCAGTTGTTGGAGTATCATATGATAAAGAATTAATGATAATAGATAAAAATGAATATAAGAAATATGGAAGTGGAAAAGATATAGTTACAAAAGATGTAAGAAAAGGACAGTTTAGTGCTATTGCAACAAAAGGATTATATACGGTTCTTGCAGACAATAAAGGATGTTTAACTATAATATATAACAATAAAGTACAAACAATTATTCTCCCTGATATTAGACATATTTCTAAAATTGTTTTTAGCCCAACTAAAGATTGTAATAATGTTATCATTTTAGGAGAAAAGGTAATAGTATTTGATGTTGGTGGAATGCGCATTTTAAGTGGACATACTAATTATTTGACAAGATTAAATCTTCCTATATTAGATGTTTTTTGGTTAAGCCAATATCCAGCGGTATTAGTTTCTACAGGAGAAGTTTTAGTACTTGACATGTGTCTATTTCTCTGTAATGGTTTATTTAAAGAAACTATGAATCCTCTACCATTAAGTTGTGTTGAACCAACAACACGTAGAGATATTCTCTTTTTATTATTACATGGAATAAAGTTAAAGAATATTGATTATCCTATACCAAATAATGAAGATACTTTAGAACGTTTAATTGAAATATACTTTCGTCTTAAAGATGTTAAACATTGGAAGTACTGGAATTTAATGAAGTGGGTTGTTGAACATAAATTGCCAGAGTCAGGAAGTCCATATGTTACTGTTCAAAATTATGTTGTTGAAAAAGATGAAACAACAACACATTATTCCAATGCATTAAAAAATTATAATATTAAAAGTAAACTACAAATTGACTATCATGCTTTTGCATTAAGTGAAATGAGATTAGGTAGAAGAAATGAAGCATTTACTCATTTCCTTAAAGTGTTAAAAAGTCCATATGATGAGGAATATTTTAAATATGCAATGAGAGCATCTTTGTTATCATTAACTATGGAAGGAAATAGTTTATCTAGACAACGACTAATTACATCTTTATTTAATGACCCTTCAACTGATAAAACTCATTTGATTCAATTACATAAATTATTAAATCAGAATAGAGAAGTATGTAAGTTATATATTGATATTGGTAAATTTGAAGAAGCAATGGTAGTGTCTTCATTATTCTTAGATGATGATGCTAAAACTGATATTTTTCTTTGTATTGTGTTAAAATATATTTATGACAATTGTTGGCCTAAAGCAATAGAAATGCTCACCTCTATGGGAAGACTTATTGATGTTATTCGTTTATATTTATATACTGGACATGTAGAAATGGCAGCCCATGTGTCTATGGTGATTATCGAAAGAAATCTGTTTGATCTTAATATGTCATTACATCAAATTTATCAACTCATTCACGTTCCAAATCAAGATGAACGAAAATTTGGAACATTAAAAGAGCTTATTCGTCATGTAATGTCAGAGTATGTTCATTGCTTAGAGTCATTACCATCCAATGAGTGTCTTGTTACTGCTTTTAAACATTCAAAATTTAATATCTAATTGTAGTTTTCTTACTTAAAACTTTTTTTAAAGTTATTTGCTCCAAAATTATTTTAATATAACAAAAACAATGTATACAAAAATTAAGACTTTTTGAGAATGTATTCTTGATTAACTAAAGTTATCTTACTTAAACCGTATAACCTTTAACTAGTTATTGAAAGATTTCATTTTATTAATCAATCTGAGTCATTCATAAAAAAAACAAAATAAATAAATAAAATGACTATCCATAATAGAAATCTTATTCATTTTCAAAAATTACAACCGAATTATTTGTTGTCCCACAAACAAGTTTTGTATCATTAAAAGAACTACAACAAAATCCACTCACAAGTGAAACAAAATTACAATTCTTTAAATGACTATTATCACACTCTGTAATTGTAATATAACCATGTTCACAAATTGAAATCACTTTTCTGTTGTAACAATTAACAGCTTTCACGGGGAAAAAATGAGCTGGCCTATCAATTACTTTAGAGGTATTTCGAATATCCCATAGTCTTATTGAACAATCTTTACTTCCACTAATAATATAGTTCTCGTCAAAATGATCGAAATCTGTAACATTTCCAAGATGTCCTTCCAGCTGAAAAGCAGGAAATTGAACACACCTAATATCATATCCAACCATTTCATCTTTTCTTGCTACACAAATAATATCATCTGATATTAATTTGACTTGGTTTGTATCCTTAGGAGATATTTTAACAACAGTTTTGTTATATGGCTCAGTAATACTAAAACATTCAACTAAATCTCCCCATCCAATAACTTTATTCTTATAAAAAGATGTTCTTTCATAATATCCTATTTTATCTCTTGTTACTTTTTCTTTAGTAATATTATTAATTATTCCATTTTTAAATAATACAAAAATTCCTTGCTCTACACTATTTATTCCACATAAAGGAGCTGATCCAATAAATGACCAATCAATATTATATTTATTCTGTTTATTTAATACTCTAATTATTCCATTTTCTCCACCAATAATAACATTATCTCCTTTAATAATAACAGAATGTGGTTTACATTTTACATTACATTGATATTTACAAACATCAAATTTAAACCAATTAACTTCTCTTTGAAAACTTCTTTTACTGAGTTCAAACCAGTTAGGCTTATAAAAATTTTCTTTTTTAATTGTTTTATCAAAAGAATGTACATCCTGATATTTATTATAAACTCTTTTCCATATTTCTTCAGCTTGACTTGATTTTAATAAAGTTCGAAAATGGCTATTAGTTTGCATGAGTGAAAAAAGATGTTTTGGTTGTAAGAAACTACATATTTTTAATTGTATTTGAACATCCAGTTTAAGTAAATTAAAAGGAGATTCTTCTAATTGATGATGATGAAAATTCTTTACAAGTTCTAATGTTTTAGATATAACAGTAACAGAATTGTTATTTGAAGCAATTCCTTGGAATAATTTAAAAGGAGAAACATTTAAATGTAAAAGAAGATATAATGCATGCCCATAAAGAATGACAAATAATGCTTTATGACTTGTACTATAATAGTTTATTTCTTCTTTTAAAGAAAAATGTGAAAGATCAATATGATATACTGATTGAATGATTGTTTCATTATTTTCTCTAAATACTTTATTTCCACTTGGTAATAGTCTAAATGAACTATGTTGTTTTGTACATTCAGGACAATATTCAGATGTTAAAAGTGCAACACCTTCTTCAGAATTAAATCTATCCATTCTAACAATATCAAATTGTGAATCAAATGATTCAACATGATAATAACTTTTAAAGTCTTGTTGTTTAATAAGCTCTTGAGAAATAAAAAGATTTTTATTCTTAGTATATTCATTGAGTAATGTCTCAACTCTTTTACTACTTCTCATTTCACTTTGTATAACCATTTTCTTTTTGTCTCCTGAAAGAAGAATTCTAACAACTTTATTTTGATGAATAATAAATGGATAATTATTTGTTGAGATTTGTAATGCTTTCTCAAATTCATCTTCAATACTTTTCATTGAATGTTTTCTTTGTTCATACCTACTAGCTTTTTCAAATGCCATAATACAACAATGAATACTCCATGATATACAAGAATAAAATTTTATATTAAAATTTGAATATAATGTCATTAAATGAATAATAACTGCCGTAATTTTTACTGATTTTTCTGATTTTTTTTCTACAATGACTGTTAAACTATGGAATAATCCATTTACAGTATTAACATTTTTAGACCAACATTTATTTTTTTCATATACTACTTCTCTTGTACATATAACTGCTCCATTATTTGTTACATCTTCATGTATCGGATATATTTTATAAGTACCATCTTTTAATAATTCTACCTTATCTATATAATCATCATATTTTACACCTTCAATATAATTTTCTATATGATGATAAGCTTCTTGTAATGAAATTGGTAATATACTTTCACATGATTGAAAAATACGTCCATTTTCAATTTTTTTTCGATAAACACATTCAAAATCACTTGAAATAGATATTCCACTTAGAACTTCCCATGTATTGATTTCATTATAATAAAATTCATCCATTTGAGTTATTCAGTTCGTTTGTCTTTTTTAGCTATTAATTCTTTTCTGTTACTCAAATCCTTCCATATTTCTACACAAATTATTTTTTCTTATTTTTGGGTTTTTCTCATCTTCTTTTTTCTTCGTTTTTTTTAGAGAATTTTCCCTTTATCTTTTTCTTCATTACTTCCATTCTCTATAAAAATCTCATTCATAACAAAAATTTTTTATATTTTTGTTATTAATAAAAAAGATAAAATTAAAAAAAACTTAAAAAACTAAAAAAATTTAAAAATAAAAATGACAAGTGAAAACACAAATTTTGAATTAGAGATTAGTGATGATGGAAATGATGCTGATGAGTTTTTACAGAAAGCTTCTCAAATAGCAAGTGAAACTGCTTTTCTTGAAGATGATGGGTTTATTCAAAATCCTATTCAAAATAGTGAATCAACACTAACTTCTAACTCTACTACTAATGGGTCACAGTCTGAAACAGAAAAAGAACAAAAAAATACTACACCACAATCAACTGACTTAGAAAATGAACCACCTTTATTAGAAGAATTAGGTATTGATCTTAATAAAATTGGTAAAAAAATGGTTCAAAGTTTAAATCCATTTTCAACACCAGATGTAAGTGAAAGCGATGTTATTGGTTCAATAATTATTTCATTTGCATTAGGAATAGTTATTTTATTAAATGGTAAATTAAGGTTTGGTAACATTTATGGATTTAGTATTATAGCTTCTTTTGTTGAATATTTAGTAATGAATTTATTATCAAATAAAAATATGAATTATTTATTAATATTCACTCACTTTGCTTATAACCTTTTCCCAATGATCTTTTTTGGGTTAATACTATTCGTCTTGAATAGTTTTAAAGCTGCGTTTGTATTATTTTTTAATTTTATTAATAATAATTAATTCTTATCATTAGAAATTTAACTATATTAATTACATCATTTGTATTTGTAGTTATTTCAACTTATACATGCTCTAAAACTATCAATTCACTTATGGAACTTCCAGAAAAGATTTTATTGACTATTTACCCAATATCACTTTATTATGGACTCTTTATATTATTCGTCATATTTTAATTGAATCCAATTCCTTTTTTTATTGTTATATAAATCAAAAAAATGAATGAAATTTATTACCACACCAAATAACTACAATTCGATCAAACGGTTAAAGTGTTGGAGGAAGTGGTTGGAATGCTGGGAATGTCATAAAATGACTTCGTGATTTCTTTAATAACCCAGATGAAATTTTAATATCAACAAATTCACCATAGAAACAACAACCAACAAAACAAGCTATTAAACCACCAAAAAGTTCACCAATAACAAAAAAAGGGATTACTTGACTTACTTTTGTTACTTGAACTTGGTGTTGTACTATTTATTAAATATAATACTTTAAATAAAGAAATAACTTAAAAAAACAAACAAGTATGAATTTGGTATGACGCATGAACTAAAGAAATAAGAGAAACACAAAATATTAAGAGAGCAATAGCTTTCATTAAAATTTTATGATTTTATTTCCAGTTTTTTTTTTACAAAGAGGAAAATAATAATAATAAAACTATATAAAAACTATAAAAAAGAAAAAGAAAAATAAAATAAAAAAACTAGAAAAATACCCTAAAAATATGGCTCAACGAGGTGCTACTATCAAAAGCATTGTATTAAAAGGTCATGAAAAGCCTATTACTAAAATTGAATTAACTCGTGAAGGAGATTACTTTGTTTCTTGTTCAAATGATAAAACTGCAATGTTATGGAGAGTTGATCCATTAGTTAGTATGGGTGCTTATTCATGTGCTGGAGCAGTATCATCTTGTTCAATTTCTAATAATGGCCTTTATTTGTATTTAGCATCAAGAGATGGTTCATTGTATTGTTTTGAATTAGAAACAGGAAAACAAGTATATAATAAATTACCTATTCCTGGTTGTTATGCACCAATTAAAAGTGTTGAATTATCACCAAATAATGAAAATATTTTAGCTGTTATTGGTGCATTTAGAACATTTGCTTCTTCTGTTAATTTGATTGATCCAGAAATGAAAACAAAACCAATTTCTGTATTATCACAAGAAATGCCACAATTAACAAAAGCTAAATGGTTAAGTAATTCTACTTTTATTGTTGGAGATGAATTAGGTAATTTGAATATGAAAGACATTAGAACACAAAATAATGGTCTTCGATTTGAATCTCATAAAGGTGAAATTACTGATATTCAATCAGATGCTAATGATATTCTTCTTGGAACTACTGGTAAAGATGGTAAAGCTTTTGTTCATGATATTAGAATGCCACAAGAAGTTATTTCTACTTTTGAATCTGGTTATCCATTACAATCTATTGGATTTGCTCCATATACAGATTATTATGCAGTTGGTGGTGGTCAAGATAAAGCAATGATTACTATGACTCAAAGAGATATGACAATGCTTATGACTACATTTGTAAGTGCTGTAGATGGACAAGAAATGGTACGTTTACCAGGTCATTTTGGTACTGTTAACACCATTGTATTTTCACATGACGGTAAGACTATATTTACTGGTGCAGATGATGGTTGTATTAGAATTTCTCCACTAACGAACCCTGTCTTTGCTTCTAATTGATACATTTTGATTTGAATCTCAACAAAAATTTTATTATTTTTATTAATGCAAGATTTTTTTTTATTTATATGATTGATTATTAATCAAAGAAAGTGAAAGAAAAGTTATTATAATAAAAAGATGATATATAAAAATATTTTTGTTATGTTATTATAAATTAATTCTATGTTTCTTCTTTATTTCATTAAGAGATTATGTTTTATCATTTCTTTAATTATTGTGATTGGATATATTGCTTTGATTATATTTATTTCATATTTTGGATTTATTCAATCACTATTTCTCAAGTCTGAATGGATATTAGAAGGAATAAACGACAATAATTCTTTACTTCAATTTGTTTTTACTACACCAAAAAATTATCGGATTAATGTTAATTCATTATCAATGGAAATATTTATTGGAAATATGTTAATAGGAAATGGAATAATGACAGATTTTACGATAAAACAAACTAATAAAATAGAGATACCTTTTTACGATATTCAATATGAAGATTTATTAACTTCATTACCATCTCTTAGTGTTTATCTTAATTCCTTTAAAGTAAGTTGTTTTTCTTTTAAGTTAGAAGAAAACGTTTATTCTTTAAAACAAAAAATAGAAATTTGACTTTCTCTTTACAAACATTTGAATCTAATTGATTACTTCCTTACTTTTATTTTAATTCATTTGTATCCAATATTTAATTATCACCAAATCATATGTCTCTTCTTTGTTGATCATCATTTCCAATATTATTTCGTTGTTGATTATCATTATTTCTTTGTTTAGCTAACTTATCAGTGTATTCACTAAAAACACGAACTGTATCAGTTGCTTGTTGTTTAGTATCAAATTCAATACAGGCAAATTGAGTTTCGGGATTTCCTTCAAAAATATAAAAAGATTTCCCCTCAGACTTCCATTTACTTATCCTGTTTAATTGTATTTTCTTTTGAAGAGTTCCACTACAATTTGTTATATAAACACCATCTTCTCCTAAAGAAAGTAAAGTACGGTCTTTACAATGTTTACCAATAATCCCTATTGTTTTAATTCCTTCACACTCACTTAGTGCTGTCACAAAACAACGAATCAAATAAGATTTTGGAAACTTTGAATAATTAACTATTTTTTTGCCTAAGAGAATTAATAACTTGTGTGTTAAAAATACTTGTAGATGAAAAGGAATGAAAGACTTTGTTTGAACACCAAGAGAATGATACAGGTTAGTTTGTTCTTGTTCCAATTGTTCTAAAGAATGATAAAGAAGATAATGTTCAATAGTACTAATATCATTTAATAATGGATTAATAGTAATATTTGATGATAATAAAAAATTAAGAACAGCCATTTGGGTATAAGGGATAACGGAAATTGCATGGATATTTGACATAAGAATTGATTTACATACAAGGAAGAATTGAGTAAAATAGTCAACAGGAATAAAACCAGAACTAAGATATAAAGGTGATAACTTAATCATAATGGGTGTTTTATGATTATAATACTTTGTAACAAAATATTCAGATAAATCAAAGTCAGAGTCTTGAGCATCACAATAACCATCAAAACCTATTGAATAAAAGACTTCTGCTATAGTTTTTGAACAATCAACTTCTTTTCTTATATTAATATCATTATTTAATTTAAATACAAATGACTGATACCTTTCAACAGGGAGTAAAACTTTAGTTCTGCTTAAGGTACTTGCAAAAGTTATTGGTTCAATTAATTTTCTTTCTTTTAAATCAATAAAAATTATTTCATAAGAAAGCAAATTTATTTGTTGATAACGATGTGCAACATTAACCATTAATTCCTTTTTATTAACTGAGAAAGGTTGAAAAACAAGTTGTTCTTTATCACTAATAAGTATTTGTGTATTGTTATTCATCATATTATTTTGTTTTGAGTTTTGTTCGATATAAAAGTTCTATACTAAAACAGATAACAATATTATAAACATATATTTACTTATGAATGTTATATGGATCTCTAAGATATTATTTGGTTTTTATTCATACATTATTTTCTTATATAGTATATGTATTATAAGATGACTTTTAAGTAAGAATTATTGTATTATCATTATGATTAAACATCTTTGAAGACAAATACCCAAGAAAATTTATTAACTTCATTACCCTAACACTTTTACTAAAAAAAAAAGAATTACTTCTATGTATAAAAAAACAAAAGAAGGAAAAGAGTTTAGCAAATTAACTAACGAATTTTTAACTTTTTAGTTTTGTTTAAGATTGAATCTTTTCTTATTAATTTCATGATAAAAACAAATAAAATATATTTTGTTTAGTGATACTGAAAAGATTAAAAAAATATTTTTTTTATGAGTTGATTCAAAATGAAATTGAAATATACATTTAAAACTACAAGTTTTAACGATACTAATCAGAAATAAAGATTGTTCCCATTATAAGATGAAAGTTATAAAATAACAAATAAAAAAGAATGAAAAATAAATACAAAGTAAAAAATAGAATTAAAGAAAATAATGAAAAAAGAACTTTAAAAACAAAATCATGAAAAGCTCCATATTTTCTTAATTTAGAATTATAAAAAGTTGAAGTAGTCCACGTAGTCATTAATAAGTAGAACTATAAAAGGAAGGAAAAAAACTACGAAGACATATACAATTACAAATGGCTACTGAACAAGAGGCTATGGCTTTAATGGGAAGCATTGATGTTCCAAATGGACAATGGGTAGTATATGAAGTTAAGAATAAACAACTTGTTTTCAGAACTTCTGGAAATGGAGTTGATTCACTTCGTGATGAACTTAAGGATGATGAAGCATGTTTTGCTCTTATTAATCTTAGATGTACTCTTGAAGGTATTCCAGATCAAGCAAGAGGTATTTTCATTGATTGGAAAGGACCAAAATGTAAAGGAATTGCTAAAGTTAGAGTTAGAGAATTTAAAGATCAAGCACTTGAAGTATTAATGCCACATCATGGTGAATTAGAAGCTGTTGGAAAAACTGAATTTACTGAAGATATTATTCTTAAGAGATGGGCTATGAACTCTGGTTCTCACGTTATCAACTAAATTATTTTTCATTAATTTTGTTTTAATTTTTATTTATAATTTTTCTTTGTTTTATTTATTTATTATATTTTTTCGTTTAATTTATTATTCTTTTTAAATTTAAAAAGAATCTTGAAAGAAAGATCAAATTAAAAATGAACAATTCAAATATGGAAGAAGTACCAAATTTCTTAATCAAATTTGATGAATATCTTCAGCTTAGAATGGCTCAACAACAAAACGATTTTTATAAACAAAAAATTTCAAAACTTGAATCAGATAAAGAAAAACTCTTTCAAGAAGTAGAACGATTAAAAATTGTTATTAACAAACAACAACAACTCTTTTCAAATAAAATGGCTGAATACCTTCAATTTAAATCTGAAATATCAGCAAAACATTCGACCCAAATTAAAGAAAAACAAGAGCTTATAGATAAAGAAAGGACAGAAAAACATCATTTATTAATTGAACTTACTTCTCTTCGTATCCAAGTTAAACAACAAGAAGAGCTTATTAATAAACTTAAAAAATCTGAAGATTCTGACATTATCAGAAAGAAACCTCGAGATTCTAACGTTTCAATCACATCTCAAAAGATAGTTGTTCCTGAAAAAAAAAGTTCTGCTTCTCTTCAAAAAGTTCCTGATAGTACAAATACAATAACCCAACAACCTCTACTTGACCTAATACAAAGTCATGAAATTGTTACTACAACTACTCCATTGTTTCAGGTAAATGATAAGAGTGTTAATGAAAAACGTGAAGTTGAAAAAAGGGTTAGTGTTGAAAAAAACAACTCCTCTCTTGATAGACAAATAACTCCACCATTATTAAATGATAAGACACAAAAAGAAATTCATAGGTTGGTTCTCCCAAAAACTGACTTTATTTTTATTGTTAATTATAAAAAGGTATGTGAAATATTGTCTCTTATGGTAAAGAATAAATGGTATGAACCACAAACCTCTTATTTCAAGACTTCAATTGTTTTTGATGAGTATTGTAGAAAAGTGCCAGTTCTCTGTTTTAAAGGAACTGAAGAAGATTTATGGAAGAGAAAAAGCGTTATTAAAAAATTTGTTGAAACCATAGATAAAATTGAACTTCTTCGTGTTTCTCAAGGAAATAAAAGGCATATTATCTTTGGTGGAGTTAGGCAAAAATATGTCGAATATTATGACTCTTTTTAATTAAGTTTTGTTCATAGATGATAGTCATATTAGTCTAATCAAATTCTTAAATAAACTTCGTTAAAAAGGATAATTAAAGTAAAAACAATAAGATTCAATAAATTATTTAGTTATGAAATATTGTAGACTATTTTGTTGTAATAAAATGATAAGCAACATTAAGAGAATTAAATCCTGAAAATTTACCGCATCACTATTCTTTGTAAGACTTTGATATTCTTTTGGTAATAAAAAAATAAATTTGTCCATTTAATTTCTTTTATTTTTTATTTATTTATAAAAAATGGTAAATACCAATGATAATAACAAAATATAAAAAATTGCTATATAAAACGAAAATAAAGTAAAAACAAATATCAAAAGAATAATAATTTTAAAATATAATCATTTGCTCAATCATCAATCAACAGCATTCTTTTTCATAAACTCAAATTTATTTCATTTTTGATATTCTTTTGAATAACAAGTTAAAAAGTATTTTTATTGTACTATTCTTTTGTTATGAGCAATTAATTTATAACAAAGTTTATCATTAAATAAACATATTTTAACTAATTTTTTAGTTTTGTATTAGTTCAGTTTGACTGATTTTATAACAGAATAAAATAAAATATGTTATATAATTAAATTTAAATGTATTTATTAATAGACTATTAAGTAACAATTAGTTAGTGTGTAACATTTTAATTATTGTAGACAACTGACGATAAAACAATCATTTTTATTATCCTTTACAATTGCTACAAAATAAATGATTCAAAAAGAGATAATGTAAAGAGAGTTACTACATTTAATTTCTATTAAGTCATAACACAATATAAGAAAGCACAAAAGCCTACTTTTCTTGAAGTTACAAGAGACTTTAGTGAATTTCATTGACCTTACTTATTAAATATCTTAATTTTTTATAAAGAGTTTATTTAATATTTTATTGTGTTCAATGAAATACTCTCTTATTGTATTAGAATGTTAAATACAGAAGTCATTTATAACAAAGAAGTAAACAACTAATATTTGCTAATACTTTAAAACATTACTCAACTTCTTCTACTTTCTTTTTTTTTAAAAAATGACTTAAATTAAATGGTATATCTTCTTATTGATTAAGTCAACTATTCTACTAAGGCTGTATGTATTCTTTCATTACTGATGTAGTAGTTTAGTGATAATAAGTAATATAAAAGAAAACATTACATGATAGTATCAAATATAAAATAAAATGAAACATTAAGGATAAAAGAATTTTCGTTCAAGACATAAAAAGATAAAATATTTAATAATACCAGACAAACCAATACACGAATATTCTAATTTTATATAAGGTAACTAAATTTATATTGAGAATTAATATTTTATTATATCACTTAATCATCAATCAATTTAACAATAGTTTTAAATACTATTTATAAAATTTAAAATCATTTTGTTTGTAAGACTAAATAAAAAGTCCCATAAATATTAAATTTTTGTATAGAAAACAGAAATATCTTTGAGAAAATATATTAATACCTGTTTAGTTTTTTAAAACAAAAAAGAAATTATCTATTCCAAAATATCAACCAATAGAAGAGATAGATAAATTTATTTTAAAGAATTAATTTATATTTAGTTTTTTTTTTGAAGTAAATGAAGTAAAAAAATTTACAAAAGAGATTTTTTCTGAGTTTTTTGTTTCAAATTTTTTGATATTTATAAATAGATAATAACAAAAACCATTTTGAAAAAAATAAAAAAAGAAATTAATAAAAAAATAAAAAGGCAGGTGGGTTAGTACAAAAGAAAACTTAAATTTAATCATTTTAATGTCGCGTTTAAAGAGATCACCTGCTTATCATGACTTCAATAAAACTAATCAAGAAGAAAGTGTTAATGAACAAACACTAACTGAAAATTCATTCTTTTTATTTGCTGATAGAATCCCATCTCCACATATGAGAAGTGATGGTTCACCAACATTAGAAACAGATGAAAAAATCGAACAATCAATTGAAGAATTTGGAAATGAAGAAAAACCTATTAGTACTCCGTTACATCAAGAACAAGAATGTAATTGTTATACTGATACAACAACCTCAGTTTTTGAATTTTCATTTTAAGAGATCTTACAAAAGAAAGTAGAATTAGTTAAATAGAATAATGTAGCATTATAGTAATACTCTTAAATTAAACAACAATGTGTTTTATAGAATTTTTTTAATTCTTTATTCATTTTACTTTTGTTTTATTTTCATTTTTTGTATTTAAAAAAATAATTCAATTAGAAGATTTATTAATGTTGTATAAATTCATTTTAATTCATTTTCAAATTACTGATATGAGAAGCTTTAATTAAAGAATAGATAATAAATAAGACTACTAATAACCCTGATACTCCTATAAAAGAAAACATCAACATCATTAAATATGATTGGTTTCTACTCCATTTTTTTGGTACCAATACTACATTAACTCCTCTCAAATTAAATGGTTGTTTGGGACATACAACATCATCTTTAAATGCATTAGCAACAATATATGTTCCACATTTAATACGGGATTTAATATCAAAAGCTTGTTCGTTAATAACAGATTTAATTTGTGGTACATTAAGAATACTTCCTTTAGGTCCATAAACTAAATAAACTTCATCAGTCACTTCTCCTCGAATAACTATTGATGAGTCTTGAGAAAATGAAATAGTTGAACCTGTTGGTCTGAAATCAGTTCCTAATCCTTTTCCTGGACCTAATGCAAAAGCATTATGATTAACATTAGATAAAGAAATAGTTGATGAAGAAATAATAAGGTTTGAATCATAGACAACAGCTAGTCCAGTTTCTTCAATTTCAATTAATGAATTTTTTAAGTTATTAGTAGTTAATTCTAATGACCCTCTATTTTGAATAAAAATTTTAGTATTTTCAACGACTTGTGTTTCTAATGTTAAAATTGCTAATGGATATACTTTAATTATAGTAGATTCTTCGAGAACATTAATTGTATTAATTAATATTTGACCTTTAATATTTAATGGTCCTGATTGTTGTTTAATACTTCTAACAACAAAATCTCCAACTAATGTACATTCTCCAAAACAAACTAATTGATCAATACTTATTCCATTAGCTTTAATTGTTAAATCGGTACCTTCGATTCCTCCTATATCTTCAGTAATTTGAATAGATTTACCTTCAACAATATAGTTACAATATAATGAATCACAAGTACAAGTAGTGTCATCAGGGAATATTAATTGGTTCTTATTTGTTTTACAGTTTTCTAAAGTATAAATTGGTTTGTTATTATATTCATAACAAGCATATAATCCTGTTCTAGAAGTGTCTAATACTAAAGATGATATTGAATTATCATGTGATGTTATTGAAAAAGAAATATCAGTGCTAGATAATTGAATAATTTGTTTACAAAGGCCATCATGTCCACCATCAAAGTCAATATCAACAACTCCTTCTATTTCAACTTTAGAATTAGTAATAATCCATCCTTTAAATGTACTTTCATAACTACCATAAATAACACCAGATGATAACATCATTTTACTGTCATCCATAAAAATACTTCCTTTATTATTTAAAAAAATGTTAACAGATGATGCAATAATTTGTGCACGTTCAAATGTTGTTACTCCATTAATTATTACTTGTGAATCAGTTAAATCAATAAATCCTGTAAGTTTAACATTATCAAAAGTTACTTTACCAATAACATTAAGTTTATTAACTTCAGCTGAAACAAGTTCTAATGAATTAGCAACAACACTATTAAATTTTCCTTTTAATGTACTTTCTCCTTGGACTATAATTTCTTCTGCTTCAAATAAACTTCCATCAATTTCAGTATGAAGTTCTTCTGGTATAACCAATTGATAAATCTTTTTATTCTTAATTTTACTAAGATCATATCCTTGTGTAAGAGTAATAGAAATAGGTATATCTTCTTGACTTTTTTCTTGTATCTCAAAACAGTTACTTGGTTCTAATACCTTTCCTAATGAACACATAATAATAGTACATCGAACTTGGGCTTCTTCTTTCTTTAAGTGAATTTCATTTTCTGCACAACATTTTTTAAGTTCAAATCCTTTTAAATTAGCTGGAAGTTGTAATTCAGGAAATTCTTGTGTTAATGACTTTATTAAACAAATATCAATATTTTGATCAGAAAGGTCAAGTTGTTTTGTATCAAGAGCTTTGATAGTACCTTTCTTTTCAACATAAAGAATAAATTCTGTTGCTTTTATAATAAGTAATTGTATCTCATAATTTCCTTTGATAGAAAGATAACCATTTGATAACATAGTCAATTCTTTAATTGTTACAGTATTACTAATTTGAAGTATACCTTGAACATAAACCTCATCTAATTGACTTCCTGAAAATTTAATCACTGAATCAGCTAATGAATTTAATGATAAGTCTTTACATTCAGACTTAACAATATCCATAGAAAGAGAAGTCGATATTAATACTGGATTTTCTGAAGTAATTAAATCAATACTAAGATATCCATCACCTTTAAAGATAACTTCTGTACTAAATTCTTCAACAACTAACTTTTCAATATGACAACTTTCTGTTAATTGGATTGAAATCTCATCAACAGTAATGATTAATTCTTTGACATTGTTAGGTAATCCAATAACACTTTCAAGAGAAGTAAAAATAGTACATTCACTTGCACTAAAGTCTTCAACCCTATTACATTTATAAGAGTCACTTTTTGTTCCATCTTCTTCTACTAATTCACATTTGCATTGATTAGCTAAACATGAAACAACCAAGCACAAAACAATAAAACTTTTCATAAAAACTAAATCTTTTAAGATCTTTTTCTTTTTTATTCAGTATAATAAAACAATAATAAAAAAGATAATAATTACTTGATTAATAAAGTACCCTCATAAACGAACTAAAGGATCATCTACTACTTTAATTACGGGAACTGATACTTGTTGTTGAAGAAGTCCTTCTACTCCTTGGTGCCAATCATACCCAACTGAGTAAGCCAAAAACTTATTTTCACAAATAAAATCGGCTGTAGTTATTGGACAATTTTGAATAGGAGAAGTTAAAGTATTAACAAGACTTTTCTTATTTTTATCCCAAATATTAATCACACCATCACTACCAGCAGTAAGAAATATTGTTTCGTTATAAAATGAAATTGAATTAACAGGATAATAATATGTTTGAGTTGTTGATATTTTTTTATGTTGTGCCTTAAATGCATAGGTATATTGATTACTTTTGTTTTCAAAATGAAGAACATTTGCTCTTCCATCAGCACCACCATATACAATACCTTTTCTATCAGGGAATACTGCTATACATTGAACACTTGAATTAACAGTAGATTGTTGTCCTCCAATAAGAGTGTCTGTCATTAATTTACCTGATTGCATATTAAATACTTCTACTTTATTTGGAGTATGGAAAGTAATATAAGGATATTTTGCATCCATACAAATAATTTTATTATTTACTGGCATTTTTGAAATATTACCTGAATTTAAATCGAGTAATCCTAATGATCCATCTAAACTTGAAATAACAATAGAATTAGTTTCAAGAAATGGTTTCATAGAGGTTATACAATCATTGAATTGTCCTACTTGTTGTAGTGAATTTTGTTGAACATTCCACAAATATACTCCTCCATTAAGTGATCCAACCAAAAATTGTGATTCACGAAATTTACATATAGAAGTTAATGGTGAGTTACAATTAACACTTCCAACAATTTGTGTTTGTGTTGGGGAATTAACTAAAAATGCTTTACATGTTTTATCCCATGATGATACTCCAATTAAAATCCCATTTTGTGAACTGTATCCCTCAATACCACTGATGGTGTCTTGGAATGTTTTTGGTTCTCCTAATGGAAAAACTGGTGAATTTGATTGTTGTTTGGACATTAATATCTTTTATTTATTTTGAAGTTCTTCTGTCTTACCTTTTCTTTAATACATGTTATTTTACCATTAAAAACTATAAATTTATTATTGTTTTCATTGGGTTATTTTAGAAAAAAATTCACAAAAAAATTCACGATATATTTTTTTTTATTTGATAAGTGCCTTCTTGTAGAGAAAATGAATAATAAAGATTTTCATTAAATCAAATGTCATTTCTTCTAAGTTGTTTCCTTTTCATGAAAAGAGGTGATGCTATATAATAAAATAATTAATTTAATTTACTAAAATAAAAACTAATTAACTCATTAAATCAAATGAATAGTCTAATAAATATGAGTTATTATTTCTTGAGATAGAACTTTTTTATCTAACGAATATTTTTATACTTCAAACTTAATAATTTTATTTGTACAATCGTTTCATTGTTTCAGAGAAATACTTAATAGAATAAAATGTATTTTTTTTTAAAGATGAAGTAAAGTTTTGAATAAAATGATATTCTTAATATTATCATACAAACCTTTGTTTTTTGACAATTTTTACAATATATTATCATATTTGTTATGTATAATTATTTTTTTATAGACTTTTTAAAGGAAATAACATTTTCATAATGAGACAAGTTGATACATATTCATTGTTTATAAATGGAATAGACTGTAGTGTTTTTATTAGAGTGATTTGTTTTGAAGAATTTATATCTATTTCTTATAAATCATTCGTCTAATTTTTGTTTCAAATTTATTTACTCTTATTCTAATCCATTCCATTTATTTTGTGCATCAAACATAAGAATTTGTTTAATCAGCTAATTCTTTGCTTCAGTATTATTTTGATGAACTTTTCCATTTTGTTAATATATTGTTCAACCTTTAGAAAAAGAAAGTAAGAGTTTGTGGAATATAAAAATAATGAAAAGACACATAAACATATATCAATTAAGTTAAGAAAACAAAAATTAAGTAATCAACATCATAAATAATTAATACATAAACCAAAGGTAACTAGAAGAGATCAAACAAAAAAGAAACAAAAAAGAAAAGATAGAGGTGAATAATTTAATCCATTCAATATGGTACATAGCAAAAACTTTCTTTACATGTATTTTTCTGTAAGACTGTTGTTGAATGGTAAGTGAATAAAAGAAAAATATTGATGTTACAGAGCAATGGATTTAATAAAAATTAAAAATTAAATGTTGAAAAAGACAAGTGTTGAGTTGACATAAAAATAGAAAGGAATGATTGTGTTATTTATTCATAAACTAATTTGGTAATTCGACAGTATAACAACAGTCATTAGACTTAGTCAAAAACTAATTATAATTATATTTTTTTGAATAAATATCACTTAATATTATTGAATTAAAAATGGCAAGTATTTTCTCTTTTTTCTTTTTTTGGAAATTCCTACTAACACTTAACTTAATCATAAAAAACTATTGACATTATTTGTTTCACTAATTTGTTCATTCAAAATTAAATTCATCATTAGAATAAAAATGATTAATTTTTTCCCTTCAGTTTGAAATGAATAACAAAAATAATTATATATAAATACCAAAAAACAAATTTTTATAGTCTTTCCTTTTAATTTTCTAAATCAAATCAGACTCTCTCTATGTTTGACTGTTTTAACATTTTTTAGCATAAATACTATATTAACAAGATAAGTATTTAATTGAAGAAAAAAACCGAATTTTTGTAGAAGAAAGTGAAAAGAAAATCGTTGTAATTAAGAAGAATAATTAAGAATGAGGGATATAACACTATTTGAAAAAAACACTTAGAGAATAAAGAAAAAACAATAGGGCTAATTGAAAGACTATGCACTTGTTGGATGAATTGATGATGAATATTCATTTACAACTGAATTTGTTCCAACAGTTGTAAACACATTATCTAAGTTACCTTCTTCATTACCTCTAAGAATAGCTTGTATCTCTAAATCGCATTCTTGATTTTTGTTATCTTCTTCAGCCCAATCTTTAGTTAATATTTCATTTACTCGTTTGTGTTCTACAACAACTATTGATTTTGACTTACCATATTTCTTAATACTAGCTTGGTATGTTACCTGATTCTGCATAGTAAAGAGATACTGATATTTGTAGTTTTGTTAATTCCAATTAAAGAATTATGATATTTAAAATGGCATTAGATTTTAGTTGATATTTATAGATCATCTTTTGATCCAAAAATATCTTTCTTTTCTAGAAATTCAACTAAATACCTGTTTTTAGATGTAGTGTAGTTCTATAATTCACACCGATTTTCTACCTTATCTCTTTTGTAAATTTTTTTTGGTTTCCATTTTACTTGAAGTAAAAGATGTTCTGAGAAACGAAATTATCTCTGAGACTTTTGATTGAAGAGTCAAATCTTGCTTTACTGTTTTTCCTTTTTTGATATTCGTTTTTTAGAGTTTATATTAAAATATGTTATAAATAACATAAAAACATGCCTGAAAAAATGTCTATCTAACGTTTAATTTAAATAAGAGAAATATAAAGAGTTTATTGTTAAAATTAAAAAAATTAAAAGTGTAGATGTTCAATCAAAGAATAATAGGTTGTACGTTAAAAAGAAAACCAAAACTGTATTTTTTTGTTTTCATGTCATATAATATTTTGTAAATTTTTATTGATTAAGTTACTTAATCATATGAACATTATAGTCAAAAGAAGCGTTTGATTCTTTTTTACTAAAAACTTAATTCTAAACAAATAACACAAACGGTGATATTATTAGTAGAAAAATTATATAATTTTTTACGTTTCTTAAAAATAAAATATTTTTTGAATAAAAACAGGAAAAACGAAATTGAAACTCCACCGATAGGACGAAAGTAAAAAAATGAAAACTTGAGTTTTTTATTTTTAGAATGTTTTTTAATATTTAATTTTTTGTCAAATATTTATTTACAAAAGATTGACTTTTCTTTTTTTTGTATTTATCTTTTTTGAATAAGTCTTTGCTAAAATTATTTCAATTGATAGTTATGAAGGAAGGATAGAGAATAGTTTAACAAAATAATGAAAATATTTTTTAATTTTTATCTATAATAAAGTTATAGTTCATAACAATTAAGTACAGTATAATAACTACTAATTGGTTTAAAGTCAATGAACTTATTTGATTTTTTTTATCTCTCTTAATCTTTTTATTCTTACACTTATTTTATTGATTGTTATTATGAAGTAATATTTTGATTGTTCATAATAAAACAAACATTATAAACTCAAAGTATGAAGCAATTTTATGTTTCTAATGCTAGATTATTTCTTTTCAAAAATTGTTGTTAAAATGAATGGTATACAATACTATTCTATAACCTTTAAATATACTAAAATGGTTTTATGAATTTGTGAAGTAATGAAAGAATAACAAAACGTTTACTATTCTTTTTGTTCTAATAAATTGGTTTAGAATTATTGGGTTGTATAATAGATAAATAAAGGTATAGACACAAAAAAGTATATCTCACTAATCAAATCATGTCATCATTGAAATTATAAGTAAAAGGGAATAGCATTTTGTTAAAGAATGATACAAAGTATTAAATCTCATTTCTTTTGTTATTTATTAATAATAAGAGTTTAGTTTTCATATACTAAATATCAAAATGAGGAAAATCATAAAAAAAGAAAAAACTTGAAAATAGTTAATATGAAAAGAAAAGATAAAGAAGAAATAATATATTCAGAGGATGAGATTAGTGAAAGATTAGCAATTCTAGAAGAAATTAAAAAGAAGGTTGAAACGTTTGATGAAAAAAAATTACAATTTGGAACTAATCCAATTACAAAATTATCACCTGATGAAAAATCAAAACCTTTTTATGCATTAATTGGAGCGTTGTTATCAACAAAAACTTGTGAGACATTGAGATTAAAAGTTATGAATAATCTTATTGAACATTATAAAAAATTAACACCTGAGATTATGTCAAAAGCATCCGAAGATATATTAAATGAGTTATTAGATGGGTGCTATGGAAAAGTCAGAAAAATAAAATTTATTCTTGAATGTTCTAAAGTAATTCATAATAACTATAATGACATTGTTCCAGACAATATAGATGAGTTAAAAAAGTTACCTGGTATTGGTCCTAAGTTAGCTAAAATTGTTTGTGCAATTGGATTTAAAAAAATAGAAGGTATTACTATTGACCAACGTTCATTACTTCTTTTACATCGTCTTGAATGGATTTTAAAAGATACTTCTAATGACAATGATGCAATGAAAGAAGTTGAAGAATGGCTACCAAAAGAGCATTGGAGTTATTTTTCTAAAGACACAATTTTATTTGCTAAATATCTATGTAAACCAGAACCTTTATGTGACCAATGTCCTTTAGCAAAACATTATGTATGCAAATATTACTGTAAAAAACATAATCATCATATTCAACATCTAACTCAATCTTATAATTTAAATTTACAACAAGGAAAGAAAAAGAAAATAGATGTTGAAGAATTAGAAAATATGATTATATCAGAAGATGATGAAGAACATGAATTTTTATCAAATCTTGATCTTATTCAATTAAGTCAAGAACATCAAGAAACTAAAGATGTTTAAAATTAATTTAATTAATCAATCAAATCACTTTCGTTTATTCTTGAAGCTTTAAATTCTTCATCAGTAATTCCAGGTGGTGGTTTGCAATAAACTAATTTACCACAACAATAGTCTTTTAATACAATTCTTGCTACACGATGATAATCTAATAACCCACGAGTATTGGTATAATATTTTCGACTTTTAGCAAATCCAGCTAGGAATAATTCTGCCTCTGATGGGGTTCTTGACTCAAAACAATCAATAAAATCATGAAGAAAATCGGTTGCTTTTGGAATTTTAAATTTATAAAATGCCTCAAGAATTGATGGTGAAATTCTTCTTGTTACTAAATCAATTGGACCAAGACAATCTTGCATTCTATCAATAGGTAAAACACCACTACAAATCATTTCTTCTTTAGAAGACAAGAAAGATGGAAAAACAAGACCTGGACAATCACATAACATTAATTCATCGTTCAATATTAATGTTTGGAAATGTTTAGTTTTACCAGGAGTACTTGTAACTCCAACTTTCTTAATTCCAATTAATGAGTTAATAGTTGATGATTTTCCAACATTTGGAAATCCACAAAAACCAATAACTTTTCTTTGTTTATTATCTCTTAAAGGAATATCACTTACTAATCTTGTTAATTCTTCCATTAATTCATTTGCACTTAATACATGATTTCCTAAATGTTTATTATCAGACTGAACTATATTTTTATCATCTGTGAAAGGGACTTGTTCTTTAATTTCTTTTTGTTTTTCTATAGTTTTACTACTATCTTTTTCTTCATTTATTTCATGTTTATCAATTTCTTTCTCTTCTTTTTGAGTTTGGTCTAAATCAAAAGCCTCTTGTTGTCCTCTTCTCTTTCTGGTTTTTCTAACTTTTTCTTCTTTATTTATAGCAGCTTCAGCTAATTTATTTTCTTTTAAAGCAGAATAAAAAATAACACGAATTCCCCTTTCATCAAAATATTTCAACCACATTGCTCTTTGTTCATCAGTCATTAAATCCGCTTTATTAATTAAAATACCACATTTTCTTCCTTCTAATTCTTCAACATATTTAACTAAATCTGTACTATAATAAAATAATGGATCTCTACCATCAACAATTTGTAATATAACATCAGATTGTTCACAAGTTCTCCATAACTGTCTCCAGAATTGAATATTTTTTTCATAAGGTGTTAATAATAATTTACTTTCATTTTGTAATTCATATAATTGTTTCTTCCATTCCATAAATGATTTTTGTTCAATTCTATCTAATTCTTCTGCTGTCATATCAGGTGTCCAAGCTGGTCTTCTTGGAACAATTAATGCATACTTCTTTCTTATTTCTTCTAATTCTTCATTACTCATTTCTGTAACAGTTGTTATTGCTTTCTTATTATATACAACATTATATTGTTTCTCTACTGCAAATGCTTCATTGACAGCTGCTGCATTATCAACTAATTCTTGTAAGTCACTTGCTTCAGTAACTGACTGTGAACCAGCTTTACCATCAACATGAATTCCTTCCATCTGTTTTCTACCTTCAAGATCTTGTTTTCTACGTTGTTGACGTTCTCTAATATTTGCACGTTTTAAAGCTTTTCCAAGTTGTTGTTTCTTTGGTGGCATTTTTCAATTGAATTTGTTTTATTTTTCTTTTTAGGTTTTTAATTTTTCTTTTTATTTTTTTTACTAAATTTT